AGGATAATTCATTTGATGAGGGTGCAAAACACTGTTAGACTTTCAAAATGCAGCCACTGTAGACATTTGACCTCATTTTGAGTCATGTTACAACATATTCAAACAGATTTGCCTGGGAGGTTTTATTTGATGTCTGTCTGATGCATTGCAGCCTTTATTTGATCTGGAGTGCTTTCAACATGCAAAAACAAAAACATTATGATGCAAAAACATGACCTTAATGAGAATTTAGGCTGCCGCAGCTCTGGTTATGGCAACAAAATCTGTTGTTTTAACGCGTGCTGTACAAGGAATCTGTTAGAGCAAATATAACTCTAACAAGGCCACGAGGGTTTTTTATTATTATATATCTATAATTAAAGACTTTGATGATGCCACTCAGCTCTGGAAAGTTCTCAAAAACAAAATGAAAATGAACCAAACCAAGCAAAACAAAAGCAAAGCTAGGCAAGACAAGACAAATAAATAAAACAAAATGCTTTTGTTTACATAACAGATTTCTCAAAAAGAAAGTAGACAAAAAAAAACTGTTTACAGGATTCTGATTTCTCAAAACAAAACAAACAACAAACAAAAGTTAATTCAGGCAAAACTAAACAAAAATGTTCTGAAAACAAAACAAAGCAAAACAATTTGTTTTGTTTACAGCAGCATTCTGATTTCTCAAGAACAAAACAAACCAAGTCAACTCAAAGCAAAACCAAAACAATATCTACAGCATTCCAATTTTTACAAAAATAAAGTATTCTGATTTTTCAAAACAAAGCAAAACAAAACAAAAAAATTGTTCACAGCATTCTTATTTATCAAAAACAAACCAAAGCTAAAACCTATACAGCATTCTGATTTCTCTAAATCTGATTTCTTAAAAATATTCCCATTTCTCAAAAACAAAACTAATATGTTTGTTCAAATTATTCTGATTTCTCATTATCTGATTTCTAAAAAACAAAACATTACATTTTGTTCACAATATTCTGATTTCCAGTAACCCAATTTCTAATAATCTGATTTCTCATAATCCGATTTCGCAAAAACAAAGCAAAACAAAAACGTTTTCACAGTATTCTGATTCCTCATAATCTGATTTCTCAAAATAAAACAAACAAAAACAACAAAACAGAATGGTTATGAACACAACAAAAGACAACAAAACAGAACAGTTATGATGGGTACAGGTACGGCGCAAAACCACACAGCCCCACAATTACAACATGAATTTCATCATGATACAACCAGATGCCCACCTTTAAAGAGGGTCTGCAACAAGAAAATGATCACTGTTTCCTATCTAATCCTATTTCCATAAACAGACCTGCGACTGGTATTCTGGTAAGACCTCATCAGGGATCATTAATTCAGCATACTATGCAAACGTCACAAAGAAAACTATTTATTCCCAATTTTCTATTGTTCTGCTTATATTAAACATGCAATAAATCTGGATGTCCCCATGACTGGCATTGCTTACAACAATAATAACACTAATAGTTGCACTGCACATGCTAATTATAACAATAGTAAACTTGAGGAATTGATCAAATGTTCATTGAACTACTACTTCTAATATCCAGTATAAAAATGCATATTAAAAGTGTGCTTCAAAACGCTTCTTTTCCTCAATGTTGACCGCTATTGCTGGTAAAACAATCAGACCGGTAATCTAATACCTAAACTATTTCTTATGTTCAGGATCATAAATATGGGTTTCCCCCTCTGCTTTAGACTTTGCAACATCTATTCCTGGAACAAAAAAAGCTTTCTTTGGCAGAGCAGGACTGTGAATTCTTATGCTTATCAATCTTTCTGGTATTTGGATTTATCATTTTTCCCGGCAGTAAAAAAATAATAATAACACAGAATGAAAAACAGTATCCCCCCCTTAATGTGTTTTAAGGAATGGTGAAAGTCAGAGTGCTGGTCTATGAGTGAGTGTGAGGTCAATGTATGTGACCCCGGCTAGCAGGATCAACATTAGGAACTTTCCCCACTCACACAGGGATAAAACCAGCATCAGCAAGGATTACTCGTGTCCAGGAGCAAAAGCAAGCATGGCTGAACCTCTGCAGAGTGGCTGTTGCTTTAATTCACTCTGGCAGGTTCGAGCCTGGGCCACCATTAATCCAATAGTACTCACTTTCCAGGTGACTATCACTGCCTTGTCAGCCCATTTAGATCTTCATAATCCATAAACCTCTTAATCCAATTGTGTAGCAGCATCATGACGTATCCCACACTGCTATCTGCACAGAGAAAACACTCCACATATAGAGGATCCAGATCTGGGCTCAGTGTAAACATAAGAATGTGTTTAGATCCTACCTTTCCGATCGCTATCACTTTGTCTATTTAAATGGGGAATTATCTCAATTAAATCCAGTAAAGTATGGAGTGCCACAAGAATCTGTCCTAGGTCCTCTGCTATTTTCAATGTACATGTTGTCCCTTGGTAATATTATTAGAAAATACGGAATTAGTTTCCACTGTTATGCTGATGATACTCAACTATATATCTCAACAAGACCAGATGAAACCACACTCTCTGTTTAAATCTAGATTAAAGACACATCTCTTTAGCCAAGCATTCACATAATGTATCTCATAACCTTGTACTTCAGTTACATCTGATCAAATGCACATTTTCATTCTTTTGCTTGGGTTGTACACATAATTTTTTGCTTAGTTATAACAGCAGCTACGCTAATTTTTCTCTATCACCTTCTCTGTTTCTGCCACGGGATTGACATCCCGTGGTAACTGAATTACACAAGCTTCAGTCTGGATCCAGCCCTTACAAAGACCTGAGATGACCGAATACCTGACAAGAGATGATGCCAACCCCCCAGAGGACCTCAGATGATGCCAACCCTCAGACAACATACAAAACTACCAAATTTTGCATTACATGACATTAACTAACTGCTTGATTTTTACCGTACATTTCTGCCATATGGACGTCAACTTGAGATAGTCACCACTGATAAGCTATTACTAAATATAATGTAGAAACTTAAATTTTCTGTAAAGCTGCTTTGCAACGATATGCATTGTGAAAAGCGCTATACAAATAAACTCAAATTGAACTGAATTGAATTGAATTTCCCATGATCTTAAATAAATAAATTGACATTCCCATAAATCACATTTCAATAAGTTAAAGAACAATTATTGTATATTTTTACAGTAACTTGAGTAACAGGGCTGAATGGTTGACAACAGTTTATAGCATTCTGATTGATCACAAACAAAACAAAGCAAAATAAAAACTTTTGTTTACAGCGTTCTGATTGATCTGAAACAAAAAATAAAACAAAAACGTTTGTTTACATCGTTCTGATTAATCAAAAATAAAACGAAGTAAAAAAAAAAAAGCAAACTTGAGCAAAGCAAATCAAAAACTGTTCACAGATTTCTGATTTCTCAAAAATAAAATGAAATGAAAATTTTTATACTGCACATTTTTTACAATAACTTGGTAACAGGGTTGAATGGTTGAGCTTGAATCAATGTTATTTTAATATTACTGATATATTATTACAGTATTTGTTAATATTTTGATTTAAAGCTGCAGTCCGTAACTTTTTTTGGTTAAAAAATTATCCGAAATCAATATTTGAGCAAGTACATAACTAGTGTTCAAAACCATCGCCTTGCTTTAGCCTGATTCACAGCGGTTAGCTTATAATAATGTTTTCTAATTTGAGTGCTATGGGTAGGTTTTCGCGCGTAATTCGAGCATGCTGCTGCGTCATTACGTCACGTCTGTAAACATAAAGAAGTTGTCCTGGCTACTAGGCTATCGCATGTGAGGATCCTGCAGGTGGCCGATCGTTTATAGCCTTTTCTTACAGCAGCTGGAATAATTACATTTATTATTTTGATGGCAGATTGTAATCCAGAAAGGACTATGTGTTTATGAACAATATACGGGGAAAATTCTTATTTGGGTCATATATTCCAAGACTTAGTCTAGAATCTGTGATTGCGAAGTGCAGTATCCACACTGGTGCGGTGACTGACTGCCACACATACTCCTCAAAACATTAGATTTATCCACGCCGGCACACAACCCACGCAAGGAAGATAATTCCGCAAACAGCTGCAATTGCAGGTTTTCAAACAAAGATGGCGACAAAGAGACAAAACTTACGGACTGCAGCTTTAAATTATATTTTATTTTCTGTTTTAATATTATTAAAGTTTTGGTAATTTTGTCGCACGTTTTTGTCATTTTTATTAGTGTTTTTTTTTATGTTTATTGTTTTCATTAAGTTTTAGTTTTAGTTTATTTGCAGTAATTACCAGTTATTTCAGTACTTCAGCTAATCAAAATTAAAAATGTATATTTTATGTTTATTTTATTTTAAGTATGATTAATTTTTAACAGTTTTTGTTTTACTTAACGATAGTAATTTTGGCTTGAATGCAGTCAAAACTACAAATAAAAAGTGATAAATATTTATTCATGTTGTACTATCATGCTGTAGGTAGAAAGACTTTAATGTGAATTAGCCATCCTACATATTTTTTATGTAGAAAAAGCACATGATTACAGCGGGATACAGCGAAATATTACTTTTTAATTAGTTAGTGCATTTTAAATAAATACTTAATAAAAATTACATTGCATGCAATATCAACTCAAAAGATTACACAGGCTATGATGACCTCAAGATTATATACGTTAAAGACCCCTTAAGTGAGAAAGGCCAAACCTTTAGGCAATCTTTATGGTTTCAAATCTGCACATGTTCCCATTTTCAGGAAAAGGAAGCCTGAAGAAGACAGTAAACAAGAGTACTGTAATTGTGTGTGTCTGGTCAGGATGTATGGGCTGATGTTGATGAGAAGTTCATTACGCCTCCTAATAACCGCGTGTGATTATCCCGTGTACCTCGCGCCAGGGGACGAAATATTTAGCGTTTTATCCGGTCGTCTCCATGGTTACACACCTGCCCAATAGGGCCCAGCGGATCAGGTGTGTAACCATGGAGACGCGCTCGCCTTGAAGAGGCTGGATCTGGAGTGCGCCGCTCGCTCGCTCGCTCGTCAGTCGCTCGCCGCTCTCTTCTGTGGATGCAACATCGTCCAGACACATCAAACTAACCCAAACAATGACATTATCTGCAACGACACGACAGAGACACACCATTATCTGACTAACTGAACCGATCCCGCGCCTCTTTCTGCTCGCCGTTTGCCGGTAAGTGTTTGGATCGGCTCGCATGATGCATTGAATTGTTATTATTAGGGCAAAGCTGCATTTAAAAGGCAACGAGTGCATCGTTGTCAGCAATCATGCATGCATCGATTATGTTTTATTAAAAATGCATTTGTTAATGCCAACTGAATTGGAGAAGCAGTGACATTCTGTGCGTTGCATGAATGTTGCAAAACCTCTCGCTGCATTTATTTTCACTCCTGCCTATGTGGTCTATTTCCATCAAGCCTCTGCTGTATGCCTTTTTATTTTTAGTTATTCCCTTTATCATTTAAAAGAGATCTGTTTTAGTTTTATGATTGCGTATTTTCCTTCACGGCGTAAAATAGGACAAAATATGATGTCCAATGTCACTTAATAAGAAGAGGCAATTTACGTTAAATGGTGCATTGAAGACCTTGCATTAAACTTAAGATCTTAATTTTGCCATTAAAGACATTATTAAAATAAATAAAGAAATAAACAGACAATTCATGTGCACACCTATTCTGTAGATGTTTATGGACGTTAATGTTCACTCATTGTTCCTTATTCACTGATATTGAACATATTTCAAAGTAGACAGTTTAGTGTTTGTAGGCTATATAGATGTTTAGAGACATTTTAGCATCCTTGTGAGTTTTATACAAGGATGCACTGGAATTGTGGCATGTGCTGACTAAATATTTACAGCATTTCATCTATACACGTAATAGCTTCCTTTTATGAAAGATCAACAGAATGATCAACAGAATCCAAGCACTGACATTTTCAAATGAAATCTGTTTCTCGGTGGCTGATAATGCACAGCTTATGAGCTGATAAATGTGATTGATTTATGGTGGATCTGTTCGGTTTGTACAGTGAATCAGTTCGAGCTGTTGTTTAAGTTGTGTGTGTGTATCTATATGTATATCACTGGTGCAGTGATCCCTGTGAGATACGTTTGAGTCGATACGTTAAATCCATAAAGTGTCTGAAGGCCGTAAAGGGCGGTTACAGCTTTCACTGATTGAAGTACATCGTCCGTTTGAGAGAGCTACAGGAGAGCAGTAAAATATCCGATTTATAGGTCTGTTCACAGCTGCCAGACTATTTGGTGCCTACGTACTGATGTTCGGTCAAAGGCCATGCTGGCTTTAATAGGATCAAGAAATGCGAGGCATTTCCCAGTACATGGGCTCATCGATGCTCTAATATGTCCAGATACTGAGAAGTGCCACTCAAATACTATGGTAAAGCCAGGTACAAGCCCAGAAGGATGGAGAATGTAAGAATTCTTGTGGTTCTTTTAGTGAAGTCAGAGGTCTGATGTTAGTTTTTGTTGTTCTGATCCATTTTTCAAGTAGCTACCTGCACATATTTGTTATGTTTGTTGTGCGCAGGAGGTGAATAATTAATAAAGTAAATAATGCATCACATGCAACAGCTAGAGACAAGTGTTCTGTGTTGAAGAAACCCTTGGCTTTTTCACAACCTCGAGGTTGAAGTAGAGTGTAAAATAAACCATTCTTTTTCGTTCGGTGCTCCTGGGCCCAGATTTTGTGCTTCTTATACCAGGTTATACTTATTTGTAGACTGGGCTCGGATACAAGCGGGCTCCTGATGGCAGTAAATCTGTGATTTATAGTTTTTGTTGAGCTCGGTTCAGAGGTGCTGATTAGATTCTGTGGTACTTTTTGAGGCTGTGCTTCTGTGGCGTTTAGCCGCGGCCATCCTGTGAAGTGTCTTTCCGTTCCTGTCAAAGAGCTGTGATGTTCAAATTATGCTCATCTTTGTGAATTTCACTTTTTTGGCAAATGTTACTGTGACATTTTACCTTACATCTACAGTTTGGAAATAGACTATTAGTTACTTAAAAATGAGTGTGTTTATAGAGATAATTGAATAAAAAGTTACACCTTAGATTAGGGAACATATATTCACTCTTAACTAAGAGTTTTCCCTTCAAAAAAACTCCTAATTTGCTGCTTATTGATGGTAAGTAAGGCAGTTGTTGTAGTAGTTATGTTTGCAGTGGGTATATGGCTAAGTTAAGGGATCTAAAATATTGTCATGCAGAATTAATATGGCATTAATATGTGCTTTGTAAGTACTAATAAACAGCTAATATGCTAATAATATGCATGCTTAATACAGTAGTGTTCCCTGATCTAAAGTAAAATTAGATAAAAATTATAGAGATAATTGGAAGACATCTTTTATAAGTGACATGTAGGTCAGAACCATTATACAATCATTTTCAAAAGTTTGGAATCAGTAAAATTCAAATTTTTAATGTTTTTGAAATAATTATGCTGATAATGTCTGCATTTAATTGATCCAAAAACAGTAATTTTGTGAACTATTTTTACAATTTAAAATAACTGTTTTCTATTTGAATATGTTTCAAAATGTAATTTATTCCTGTGATGCAAAGCTGAATTTTCAGCATCATTACTCCAGTCTTCAGAGTCACATGATTCTAATATGCTGATTTGCTGCTCAAGAAACATTTATTATTATTATCAATGTTGAAAACAGTTGTGTTAATATTTTTTGTGGAGACTGGGATACAAACCTTATGTAACAGTAATGTCTTTACTGTCACTTTTAAACAATTTAATGCATCTTTGCTGAATAAAAGTATTAATTTTTAATAAGCTGTCCAATGCTGCCACTAGGGGCGCTCTAGCAAGCATTGGTGTGAATTATTGTCTTCTTCTACAGTCAGTTTTCTCTTTTAGGCCAACAAATGCCATTAGTTTAAAGAGAATCTTGCTTGTTTAGTTATATTGTCAACATGCTTATCACTAGCTACCTGAAAATTGACACATATTAGGTTAATGGCAAATCATATTTCAATGTAGCCTAACTCTATCGCCCCCATGAGTACTGAGGTTGTGGTTCAAGAACATGTTAAAGTAAACCTGAAATATTGTTGGCAACTCATTTTACTTCTGTAATCTGACATATTTTTGTGAAACAGGATATTGCAAAACAAGAAATAGAGTAAATAGAGCCAAATGTATCAACTGTATATACTTGAAATGTGTTGACCAAGCATTGATGTCTACATTTTCATACATGACTAAGGTGTTTTTATCCATACTGTTTATGCAAGTATCCTAATATGACCTTTGTAATTTAGTTTGTAATATGTAAGCACAAGACTCTTAGAAGCTTTTGGTGCACTTTGAATACAAATCATGTCTTTGTTTCCTTACAGTGAATGGTAAACATGCCCCCATCTTTCTCCAGTAATTGCAGCATCATAACGCTAGGATTAAACTCACAACCAAAGGGCACATTAAATATGCAGCTACTCTGCGGTCGACTGCAACCCTTATGCTGAGTGCTGCTACACATTTTTTTTGTCCGCATCCCTCTTTAGCCCTCTATCGTTTCCTCACTCATGCATTTTCTGGCTGAATTTAGAGGGATTTGATCATCAGTGACATACAAGGTCTCATATAATACATACAGAGCGAGAAGAGAGTGTGAAAGTGAGAGTGAGAGAGATAGACGGGTGTAAGTCTGCTGTGCGCTAACAGGAATCAATGTTCCCGACCCTCCATCCAAACTGAGGAGCTCACACTCACCCGAGAGAATTCACTTCATCACCCACTGCAAAAAAAAATACTACAAGAGAAATTGAGACGAAAGAAAGTGAATAAATTATTGAATTGTTTTAATTTACCATCGTTTAACCAGGCTAGTCAATTAAGAACAAGATGCTTATTAGCACAATAATATTGTCATTTTGAAAAAGGAAAGGGAGACAATTAAAGGAACAGTTCACCCAAAAAGGAACTGGAGTGGTGTGGATTACTTGTGGATTATTGTGATGTTTTTATCAGCTGTTTGGACTCTCATTCTGACGGCACCCATTCACTGCAGAGGATCCATTGGTGAGCAAGTGATGTAATGTTAAATTCCTCCAAATCTGTTCTAATGAAGAAACAAACTCATCTACATCTTGGAGTAAATCTTCAGTACATTTTTTTTTGGGGTGAACTGTTCCTTTAAATTGCCTTTTATTTCATTAATATTATATTATCTGCAAGTACAGCTTTTTTGCGTGACAGATTGAATTTTAAATTCAGTGTAATAGCTTGGAAAAGAGCAGAAGGAGAAATACTGGTTTGGAACATTTAGGTATGAAAATAATGAAGCTTTTTGAGTGAACTATCAATTTAATGTAATACATCAGACATCAATAAACAATGCATAATGCAATATACATAGAGTATTGTTTAATTGAGAACAACTAGATAAGGTACAATGATAAACAGAGAACATAAGAGCTGCCAAAACACAGTTTATATGTAACTCCTTCCCATTCTGTCTGATAACTGTGTCAGCACCATGGTTAAATACGAAGCGAGAGATTTGGAAGAGGGCTGAGAAAGGAAGCAGTGAGGGAGGAGAGCAGGAACGTAGGATGACAAGGACACGGAAGGGCCATTCATTTTGCTCATTTGCACATGTGTTGCTACAGATGAGATTGGGTTTTCATTTTCACTAAATGTTCTGTACCACTTTCTAGTTTTTGTTCTTTGTATCTCTGGACTTTGTGGATGTAATGTACTGACACAGCCTCTCTTTGTTCCCTTTCCCTCTCTCTCAAAACCCTGTCCTTAGGCAATCTAAGGTCTCTCTTTCATTGTAATCTGAGTGTTTTACCTAACCAGCCACAAATACGACAAGGGACATCCAAGATTCTGCTGGACGCTTATTTCTGTCATGTTGCACTGGGTAGCACAGTGAAATCTCATTGGTTGAAATTACCTCTCCACTTAGCTGTATTACTGCTACATTTCATCTAAAGTTAGATGTGAACTAATCCAACTTGAAATCTCAAACTTCCAACCATAATGACATTCCATCTCTTGTGAAAAAGAAGTGTGCTTACAGGAATAGTTCACCCAAAATGAAAATTAGCTGAAATTGTACTCACCTAGGCCATCCAAGATGCAGATGAGTTTGTTTCTTTCTAGGAACAGATTTGGAGAAATTTAACA